TAGATGGCGATACTTGGATACAAGTCCCTGTGCCTCAGAAGCTAACACAGGCTTTTCTAACTGATCCCTAGAAGGAGGGGAGGTCCTGAGCCCCAGTGTCGGGAACGGGAGGTAGTGGATGGGGTGGATATATTGGCAGAACGGCCAGAGTGGCTGGGACGCCAGCTCAGCCAGAGGAGTGAAGGTTTGAAGCCGTGTGTGCTCGTCCTCATTCCCTTCCTTATTTTCCCTGATAACAGTACCAATGCTTGCACAGGAAGGATTCCGTCATCCTTCCCTGCTTTTTCCCACAAAACAGCTATAGAGTCGTTCAAAAGCCACTTAAGACCATAGATAGCAATTGATCATCTAATCATTAAAAGGACGCCTTTTGGCTTTGGCATCAACCAACTGGGATTGCAGTGCAGTTGAACAAAAACTTGATTACTGCTGTGGCAAACAATTTAAGATAATTTCTATAATTATGACTGTTATCTTTACCAGGATATACCAGAATTTTAGGAGTTCCATATAATTTCTAGAATATATTCATTTACCCATGTGATACGACCTAAGAAGTTTATCATCACTCATCGGACAGTGCCTCTCCTGCAATTCAACACACCACATAAGCCCAATGAGTTTAATATTCCTCTCTCTGAGATGGAGAGAAAACAAGTAATTTGAGGTGTCCCAGGGACCCTCCGGAAAATCCAAAAGTTAGCCAGAGGTCAAATGAACCCCACTTAGAACTTGATCTTTGGGAAGTTTGTCAAAAATATCAAAGCGTTTTTAACCAGTGATAATAAAAGATCTCAATGGCAAATACAGATCACTTAAACTCATTCTTTTACCAAAAGCAGTTCAATATTTTAAGAAAACTTTGTCCTCTTAGAGAACCAAAATCAGGTCTTGTACCACTTTACCTCTGAGATTTTAATTAAGTTCAATCTTATCTTAGAACTTAGTTTAGTTTCGAGTTACAGAAACCTGGAGAGACTATTCCAGACAGACATTCCCAGAACATTATTCCTGCGGAGTTTACCCAAAACTCTCTACTTCATTTACCTCTATCTTACTTACTTAAAAGCTTCGTCACACTGTTATTTTTCTTGCCGACAAACTTTATAACAGGGATAGGGCCTTATTTGATTTCTAGTAAACCCAGGTACAATGAAAGTATTCTACGTAGTGGTGATGACTCTAAAGTCATATCTGTATCAATCCAACAAGCTTCAGCTAACCTTAACACCAGATGTTAATACTGAGTATTTCCTAGATCACGTGAACCTGAAACTCATTCTGGCCAGTTTCTTTTATATTTGAGTATTTATAAGCACTTAATTTCCTTTAAGCCAATTAAATAGAGCTCTTTTATGGATTAATTTTGGCAGTGCCACACATCTATAAAACATGTGCAAACACAAACACAGGGACCTCATAGTTCCCATTCGAAAATTTTAGCCGTGAATCAGGTACAACAATGTAAAACCCATCGGTTATAGAAGAGGTTGGATTCAAATTGGGTTTCTGGCAAATGGGACAAATCAAGGTCACCTGTCTACCATAGCTAAACCCTTTTTACTAGTATTTATGGAAAAGACACTTCTGTTTGTTTGTAGCTTTTGGTGATTTTAGGAACCAAGTGGAACCTTTCTCTTTTTCCTCAAATGTCCCACTCTTGGACAAGGACAGGTTTTTTTTCCTGTTCCTTTCCTCCATTTAATGTCAGTAAAAGTTTTAAGTATCACAAAACTGATTTGGCTGTTAGTGGAGAAACAGTACCAAACAAAATGAAACAAAAAAACCAAAAGAGCAAACAAAATCCTAAATAAACCCTCAAGTTTGGCCTTGGGGTTTTCCATATACCAAGGACACAGGAGACCATAAACGGCGTAATAAACACAGCAAGAGTAGCAGTACAGGGTGCACAGCGTCCCAAGATAACCCTTTCTAAACCCCCTGTGGAGATCCTAACAGGTACTGTGGCCACACGTTGTTACAGTATCATCTTCCACTCACCCGTGCTTCGGAGCTGTATTCAGATCCCTTATCCAAAAGCACCTCAGAGGACTTTCTTTGGGGAGAGTTGAAACATTACTCCCTTTTCAAGACAAAACACAAAGGGCACACACAAGTGCTAGCATCCAAAGAAGGCAGCGAGCCGGTTCACAAATCGGGTAGGAGTCCAGCAGCTCTTCCCACTCTCCGACAGGGTGCTCCACTCAAACACAAAACAAGTTGGCTTAGTCCAGTGAAAAAGCCCCAAACGGAGAGGAAATAAAGTTTCTGGCTGTGCACAGCGGAGCGACTTAACCCTACTGTATGGAGCCCATCGGCCCCCAGAATGTCGATTCCTTGATCCAACTGCCAAGCGCTGGGGTAGCCGGTGTCGTTTCAGGGAACTTTGGAGGGCAGATCCTCAGGGTAAGTGGTCCTGCCAGCTTCTAGGGCCTTACCCGAAAGTTCCCCGACTGGGGCGGCTGGCCACGAGCAGCAGGGCTCCTAGATGGCTCCCCCAAATTTGTCACCGAGTTCAAGCTCGTACTGCTCGCTGTGTGACAGGCTGATAATTGAGAGGCGAGTTGTTGGGACAGGGAATAACGACTTGATTCAGAAAGCCAGCCGACCAAGAAGATGGTGGGCTCGTGCCGCAAAGAACCATCTTGCCTGACTTATAATTCAGGCTCCTTTTATACAAAAAGGGGAGGGAATAAAGTCAAACATTTCCTGGTTCCCGTCAGCCCCCAGAGGGGATGTGTTCATTTCTTCCTCCCTGCAGTCATTCACAGGTGGGCCTGGTCAGGAGGTTTCCTGTGAGCTAAACAAAGGTATTTTAGCTTAATGCTCATTACCTGGGAGGCAGGGTTCCCAGAGATGGGCCACTGTGTATAATTTAAGCTTATAGGCAACCTCCCTTTAGCGATGAACTTGCAATAGAATACAAAGTTTCTTCCCTATGACAGTGTGAGGTGACACGTTCACAGGTGCTGGGCTTGGGCGGTGACATTTTTGGGGCCCTTATTCTGCCCACCTCACTGCCTCAGTGACAAAGGAATCCTTTGTTTACAGAGAGGTTTTTACAAATCAGAAAAGGGTGAACAGCCCCTTAGAAAAATGGACAAAGGGTCCGAACAGGCATTTTACAAAAAGAAGCAGCACAGATGAACAAAATATGTTTCAAGATCGCTCAGCCTCCCCAATCATCGAGAAGGTGCAGAAGCAGCACTGAGACCCCTTTTCTCCCATCAAATAGCAATGATTCACGGTCCCTACTGTGGGCCCTTGAACAACACGGGTTTGAACTGCGTGGGTCCGCTTACAAGCGGGTGTTTTTCAGGAGTAAATACTACAGCCCTGCACCATCTGGGTGGGCTGAAGCTGTGTGCGCAGAACTGCAGGTAGGAGCAACCGCAGGGCCGACTGGAAGCAACGCTCAGATTTTCGACTGTGCGGCGGGTCAGTGACCCCACACACCGCGTTGTTCAGGGGTCAGCCATTTATACCTACCGTCCATACGTGCATCCTTTATGTCCCAAGCCTTCCTTCTCTGGGACTTTATCCTTTAGAAGTTATATTTGTGTGAAAGTATTGTCCCCAGAAAAGTTTATTGCTGCTTTTATAATCACACACAATTTTAAACAAGTTAAATATCTCACGGTCAACACTGGTTATACAAATTACCCTGTAACCATATGGTGGGACAGTGTGAAATTAGAGGGGAGATTGTCCAGGGAGGTGGTACTCATTATTAAGATTTGTAAAAAACTTACAAAACTTGAAAATAATTATAGATTTATGGGAGTTGCAGAGAAAGGTATGGGAAGGTCCCATGTGCCCTCAGTATTATGTTTTTAAATGTGTATAAGCTACATATATTTTTCGTGTGTATCGCATAATATATGTATAAAGATAAAGTAAATAAATGTATTTAAGTAAATTGAAGAACAGTAATATGGGGAAATAGTTGTGATACATTACTAAGTAAACAAGGTAGGATTTCATTCATTCTGTTTTAAAAAGCTAAGAAGACTTCATCTATCTACTGAACACCTGAGTGTCTGTGTTTGTCTTTACATACACGCACCCTGCAAGGCTCTGCCTCAGTGTTCCACGTGGACCGCATCAGTTAGGACTCTGAGTGCCCATGGCGTCAACAAACAGGGGCTTGTTTATTTCATGCCATGAAGTCCGAGGTCCAAGGTTGGGCTGGCAGCTCTCAAACCTGCTGGAGACCCGCGCTCTCCTCATCTCCGCCGCCAGTCCCCACCCCACTGCCCTTCTTCCAGGGAGGCTTTAGTTTTAACTCGTGTTTATTTCTCTCGGGGGCAGGATGGCTGAGGCACCTCTCGGCCTCATATGTGTGTTCCGGGCCAGAAGAAGGGGAAAGCTAAGGGCCAGGGGTGTGCCAGCTAAGTGTTTCTCCTTTGTCTCTTTCTGACCGGCCCCGGGTCCCATGGCCGCCCCTGGCTGGGCGTCGAGAGGAGGAAGGGGCATGGGTGGGGTCGCTCCACTGACCAGTGTGCCGGCAAGTTACTCTGTTTCCATCTCTTTTCCAGATCTACTCTGATGAACACAGACTTTATAGTGAAACCATGAAGTCTTTTAACAAAATTATATTTCTCTTCTCTGTAATTCTGTATTCCATCTTTAGACAGAATGGTACCAGAGGAGAACTTCCCAACGGGCGTTTCGTGGTCCGTCTTTTAGTCCGAGGGCAGAGGCTGCGGGGAGCCTCACCAGCTCCCCTAGTCGATGCCCGAGGCTCTGTGCTGACGCCCTTGGGGCTGTGGGTCCCTCAGTGAGGCCCGTTCGCAGGGAGGCTGAATGCCCTGCTTGTGTGCGGGTCGTGGGCTTGCACGGCGCTATTCATTCCTTCCAGACACGCCCTCGGGACCCTGCGGTGGCCGGAGTTGCTCCCTCGGGCGTGGGTTTGAGGAGCTGGCCTTCTTCCTGAGTCAGTGGGGGGCTCCTGCGAAAGCTGAGGAGAAGCTAATTTGTTTTCCTTTCTTTCTGAATAGCATCCAGCATGTGTATGGCGCCCAGCACCCCCCATTTGATCCACTGTTACATGGCACGTAAGTGACGCCTCAGATCTCACAAGGCTGTTCTCATCTCAGGCCAGGTTTTGGGGGGCTGTGGCAACCCCCCCAGCTCCTTGGAATTCCTGAGGGGGAGGAAAGTGGCCTTTCACTCGGCCAACACACATCAAGCAGTTGCTTTGTGTGAGGCGCTGCTGGCCTTGCATAGCCCATCCTCGGAGGAGGGCAGACGTGGAAGCCATGGCCCAAGGTGGGCAGCCTGTGCGGGGTCTCGGGCTGCCCGTGGGCCAGGGCGGGGCTGGCAAGTCTTTGTGAGCTTAGATCGGGAGACGGCTTCTTAGAACACACCAAAAGCAACAACAGCAAAAGGATAAATTGGACGTCATCAAAATTAAAACCTTTTGTGCTTCAAAGGACACACCATCAAAAAAGTAGAAAACCTTCAAGAGAAATCTTTTGCAAACCACGTAGCTGATAAGGGGTAATTGACTGTCCCTGCTCTCTGCCCACTGCCTTCAGCTTGCTTGCCCGTGTCTGGGCTCCTCCAGCAGGGGCGGGTGTGGGGCAGGGGTGGCCCTGGAGGACCACACATGTCGGATGAGCTCCTGACACTCAGTGGGGCCAGTGTTGTGTGTCATCATGCTGTGGGCATCCTTGAAGTTGTCTCGTGTCCAGATCCACCTGCCAAGGGCCTGTGTCCCGCGAACAGTCTCTCCTGACCCACACCGCCAGCTGCTGCCGTGGGAGGTCTGCGAAGGTGTCGGGCTGAGAGTGTTTGTGGGGCAGGGCTGGGCACTATCGCTGGGCAGTGCTGTGTGTCCTTGTGCGTTGGTCTGTGGGGCGAACACTCAGCGTGACTCTCCCAGAAGACCTCTCCTCCTTCCCTGTCACTGCATCCTGTGAGCTTTGTCTCATTCTGGATGTCTCTGCATCGTGTTTGCTTTTTCACTTCACTCTCGGCTCGCTTGTGTACCTTTTCACCTGGGCTCTCCTCTCTGACCGGTCTTGGGTGACCACGCTCAGCCCCCCGAGGCGCAAGTAAAAGCTGCCTTTGCTTTGCAGCTTGCTCAGGGCCACACCCAAGGTGCCGACCACGCCGGTGAAGGCCAAGCGAGGCAGCACCTTCCAGGAGTTTGAGCGCAACACCAGCGACGCCTGGGATGCCGGCGAGGATGACGACGAGCTCCTGGCCATGGCGGCCGAGAGCCTGAACACCGCGGTCGTCATGGAGACGGCCAACCGGGTCCTGCGCAACCACAGCCAGCGGCAGGGGTGCCACAAGCCGCCGGGGGCTCTGGGGCCCGAGCAGAAGCCAAAGCCTTCGGTGGAGCCTCCTTTGGTCCCGAGTGGTGACCTCCGGCTGGTGAAGTCTGTCAGCGAGAGCCACACGTCCTGTCCCGCAGGTGGGAGGGGAGGGCTGCAGAGATGGGGCCCATCTCCAGAAAGCGGGGCTGGAGGCTGCTCACCGGGGTGGGGAGGGCCCCATCCTCCCATACAGCAAGGGTCCCCGCCCTGGGGCTCCTAGACCCGAGCGGCAGCGGGCCTTCTGGGCAGCCGAGGCAGCGCACTTTCTCTGGTCCTCCTGGCTGAGTGCGTCTCCCCTGCAGATGGAGTGGCCGGCTGGGAGCTTTCATGGGCTGCTTGGGGGACCCCGCCCTTGTCAGGACGCCCTGGCTGCTCCCAGGGGTGTTTCCAGGCCAGGGGCCGGGCCAGCTGCACGTTCCGGGGCTGGACCTCCCTCGGCCGCTTCTGGTGATTCCCTGCAGGACACAGAGGCGTGGGCTCAGGGTCTGTAGGGGTGGGTCTCTGCTCCGCCCCTAAACTCCGCCAGGGTAAGCTCACGTCTACATCTCGTATCCACGTGCCTGGCACCGCCTTCCTCACTTCTGCTCGTTTTGTGTTGGAGGGGCTGAGATAGAAAACAGCGCAGTTGTTAAATGAGCATCTGTGATGGGTGAGACACTGTCCTCTGGGCTCGGGCTGCCCCAGGGGACAAGCTGAATGGAAGTCCTTGCCCCGTGGAGTGTCCGTTCTGGCGAGGGGGACAGACAGCAGCCTACACACGATGTGTGAGGAGGCACGAGGGCTCGAAGGTGGCAGGTGCCAGGGGTCAGAACGGAGGTGGGAAGCGGTCCCCAGAGCAGGGTGGGGTCTGGGCTGTGGTCCTAAATCGGGCAGTCAGGGCACCCTCCCAGGGGAGGCAGCAGTGTTAAGGAGGTGAGGGGGTGATTGTGGGGGTCTGGGGGCAGGGGGGCCAGCAGTGCAGCTGCACACCCTCTAATCCCTCTCCCCAGGGTCTCCTGGGGGTTAGGGTGCTCGCCCCGTGCTTACAGATAAGAAAGTGAGATCATCCCCGCAGCCTAAGGTTACCTGCTGGTAGTTGCAGAATTAGGTTTCATACTTAGGTCTAGTTTTCAAAAACGCTTTCCGGAAATTAACTTCTAAAATGTTACAGTCTTCTTAGGTGTGAATTATTTCATTTGATCCGTTTTTGTATTGGAACGTGAACCATTTTTCTTTAAAATAGGGTGAACTTTGAAGTATTAGAGCTTAAATATGGAAGGACATCCAGTTAGGGCTTTTACAGGTTGATGGAACGTTCCTGTGACTCGTGACGGGCACTCTGAGCACCTCCTGTGTGCCCGAGCCGGGCAGGCGTCCCCGGGCACCGAGTTCCTCCTGCTGTGGGCTCTGTAGCTGATGCTGCGACCCTGCGAGCCGCAGAGGCAGGACCACGTTCAGGTCCTCTTTGTCCTTCCTGGGTGTCCTGGGCAGTTACGGAGATGCTGGTGATGTAACCCGAGCTGTCCTCAGGGCCTGCTGCCCATGGGCCGTGGCAGCCACGCCCGTCCCCGCACAGGGATGCGCTGCCCGGGGCCGGGGCCTCTGCCTCGGGTGAGAGACCTTTGAGGTCCATTTGACTTTACTGCTCCTGTGAGCAGCGCTTTGGAATTCTGAATGTCCTGGAACGTTCCACCGCGGGGCATGGTGCAGTTAGAGTGTGGCTGTGTCTCTGCCAGCGTTTGTGCCACTGCCCGTCCCAATCGTGAGCCCCCATGGGGAGCAGATGTCACCCTGTGCGGTGCCCGCAGGGCCTCCCTGCTGCCGTCGGCTTTGCCCTTCAGCCCTGGGGAGATGGCGGCCTCAAAGCTCAGTGGTGGTGGAGTGTGGGCTCGTAGGCTGGCTTCCCTGGGCCTTCACTTCACCTTCTGGCTGTCTATTTCTTAATGAATGTCTGAGACATCTGTTGCCTTTGTACCTGAAGTCAGAGGCACTTTGCTTGATTTCGGGTACCACTGGGTTAATGGCAAAGCGTGTCATTGGCTGGGAAGGGCTCAGCGGGCATCGGCCAGGTGAGGGCTGTCCCTGTAGCTGACCGTGACCCAGCCGCGAGCGGGTCTCGTATGGACACCAATGGGTGGCGGTTAAATCACACTCTCAGGGGCCCCGGAGGTGGGACGTTGACGTGTTTTCCACTCACGGTGACAGGAGGCCCGGTTGTAGACCTTACTGTTTCCTTGGGGGCCGTTGCTGTTGCTTTACCTTCCAGATCCCACCAACTCCACCTTCGAATGGGGCTCAGGGGCAAGTGGGGCCATTAGGGTCTGAATAAAGTCACACGGAGCATCTCTGCGATAGCAGATAGATAAAAGCGAGCACGTTTGCTCCGCGCTGCCGCGGGCCCCGCCCCTGCTGCGGCGCCTCCTGCAGACTCACGAGGACCACTGGGAAGAGCAGGTCCCCAGGAGGGAGGGGAGCTCTGAGTCTCGCCACCTCTGCCTTCCCCTCACCACTCCAGTCTGTCCTCGCAGAGCCCCGAAGCGGGAGGTGCTCTCAGCGCTGCGCCACGTTTGCAGGCTTTTCTGGAAGTGTAACTGGGCCAGACTCTGCCCGGAGGCCTGGGCCATCTTGCTCCTCGGTGCCCTGCGGGCCCCCTTGGGAGCCTTGCCCGTGTGCTTGCTGTAAAGCATGGCAGCTCCCTTCTGACAGCTGCTGCCGGAGGCCAGCGTTAGCATGTTCGCTCCACGTTGTTTGCTCCTTGCCCCCTTTCCCGGAGCTTAGTTTTTACTGTACTTTTTTTTTAAATTAATTAATTAATTAATTTTTGCTGTGTTGGGTCTTCGTTTCTGTGCGAGAGCTTTCTCTAGTTGTGGCAAGCGGGGGCCTCTCACTATCGCGGCCTCTCTTGTTGCGGAGCACAGGCTCCAGACGCACAGGCTCAGTAGTTGTGGCTCACGGGCCTAGTTGCTCCGCGGCATGTGGGATCCTCCCAGACCAGGGCTCGAACCCATGTCCCCTACATTAGCAGGCAGACTCTCAACCACTGCGCCACCAGGGAAGCCCCGTTTTTTTTTTTTTAAAGTAAATTAATTTTTGGCTGCGTTGGGTCTTCATTGCTGCACGTGGGCTCTCTCTAGCTGCGGCGAACGGGGGCTACTCTTTGTTGCGGTGCGCGGGCTTCTCATTGTGGTGTCTTCTCTTGTTGCGGAGCACGGGCTCTAGGTGCTTGGGCTTCAGCAGTTGTAGCACGTAGGCTCAGTAGTTTTGGCTTGCAGCCTCAATAGTTGTGGCACGCAGGCTCAGTAGTTGTGGCGCACGGGCTTAGTTGCTCTGCGGCATGTGGGACCTTCCTGGACCAGGGCTTGAACCCGTGTCCCCTGCATTGGCAGGTGGATTCTTAAATACTGCGCCACCAGGGAAGCCCTTTACTTTAAATTTCAGTTTTGGTAGATACGATTGCTCAATGCAGTTTGGGCCCGGGGGTCTACAGCCTTTCAGGGCCTCTTGCTTGTGGGTCCTGTGCTGGTCCCTAGAGGCTCTTTGTCAAGTGACCTGAGGGCCCTCTGCTCTTTCCTTTGCCTGTCTCCAGTCCCGGGTGCTGGGTGCCGCGCAGTGTCACTTCAGGCTCTCTTGTGGGTCCTTGTGGGCAGCCCTTCAGTCTGTCTCAGGTCAGTGGTGCCTGGGTGAGGGCTGGGCAAGCTTACACTCTGGTGGCCCCTCGTCTCCACCTGCAGTGGGGGATCTAGCTTCCTCTGCTTTCTCTGAGTGACGATCCTTGCCTGACCTCCCTCCTGGGGCTTGGGGAGACCTGGGATGTTCAGACAGTCCTCAGCGCCTTCATGGGCTTCATACTCCCTTCACGTGTGCCTTGGTGGCTTCCCTCCATGCCAGGCCCGGGTGACCCGTGCAGGCATCCTCCCCACTGCCCTACACCAGCAGATCCTTGGGGTGCGTCACCCAGGCAGGCCCAGACCGTTGGCAGCCCTGACAGACCTGGTCTCCGGTCCTGTGGTTGTCAGTGTCTTGCTTTTCGTGGGGCGCGTCTGTTTCACTGGGGAACGCCCCTCCACCAGGAGGGCCGGCACGCTCCATGGGTGTGAGCTAGGTTCATTTTATCCCTCAAGAAACCAGGTCCTCGCTGCTCGGTGATGGCAGATCCACGGAGGGAGAGCAGCGAGGCATGTGTGAGGCCTCCTTAGTGGTGGGCGTGGGTGTGGGTGTGTCCGGAGCCTCACTTCTGTTCTCTCTCCCTCCCTCTGCAGGAAGCGCCAGTGATGCCGTCCCTCTGCAGAGATCCCAGTCTCTCCCGCACTCGGCGACCGTGGCACTGGGTGGGGTGCCCGAGCCCAGTACCCTCAGCAGCTCAGCCTTAAGTGAAAGAGAGGCCTCCCGGCTGGACAAGTTCAAACAGCTCCTCGCCGGCCCCAACACAGACCTTGGTGAGTCCCCTGTGGGCGAGGCCACGGCGGCTGTGCCTCATTTCTAAAGGGGGTGCAGCTCTGAAGGCCAGTGTGCTGCCATTTAACACACTTGCTCCCCGTGTAATTCACCTGGTGAGAGGTTGGTCTGTTGTGTTTCATGTCAGTGGGTCACTAAGACGAGAGCCGTTTGTCCTGAAAGTTTACTGTCGACGTGTTTATTAATGTGCTTCCTCTGCAGTTCGATCGGCATTTTCTGATCTGTTTTCCTTAATGCCCAGTTGCACTCTTCTGGCTTCTTAGCACTGCCTTGGGGAGCTCTGCAGGGCCGGCCGGGTGGACGCCCTCGTCCTTCATAGCGGTCGTGGGGCCGGCAGTCCGGGCCGGTGACGGACGTCCTGACCGTGGCTGACTTTGCACCTTCCTGCAGGGGCCCAGTCGGTCTGCGTGGAGTGTCAGCACGGCAGGGGGCAGGGGGCAGGACAGATCTTGGGTGGAGAGGCCAGCAGGGGACAGGACAGTCACAGGCGCGGTTCTCGTGGGTCATGATACCCGCTTGGACGCTCTGCAGCCAGGCTGAGGCGTGCTTGCTTTCAAGTTCTTCTGGAATTCCACTCAGATCTGTGTTCTTCTATTTATGGATCTCATCCCTGTTGAGTGCCACTCTGCACTGGGCGTTCTGCCCGATGCCGGAGCTTTCGGGAGGGTGGAGGTGGCTGTAGTCCCTCACGGTTGCACTCCGCGGGCTGGGCGCCGCGGCAGGCAGTGCCCCGCGTGGCCAGCAGGTGGCGCGTGAGGCCCGCGGAGGGAGGCGGCCGCGGCCCAGGACGAGCCTGCGGAACGAAGCCGCGGGCCTGGTTCGTGAGGCCGGAGGAGGGCGGCCTTGGAAAGATCCTGAAGCTCGGAAGGTGCTGCTCCAGCCCGGGTGCCGTTCTCACTGTGGGTGTTTTCTTCTTAGTTTTGTTCAGTTTTCGCCTGCAGAGTCGCACGGCACAGAGATTTGGGCCGGCTGTTTTTGGTAGGTGCAGAGGGAAGATGAGCCCTTTCCCTTCCCCAGCTCGCCTCTCCCCCTTTGCCCGGTTCCAGGTGTCATCTTCTAGAGATGGTCCGCGCACATGTTGTATTAAACTTTTGATTTCGATGTGATTTCAAATTTACAGAAAAGTTGCAAGAACAGCACGAGCGCCCCCGTACGCTCCTTGCTCAGATTCACCGGTTGTTTACGTTTTGCCCCATTGCATTCTGTGTGTGTGTGCGCTTACGTGCAGACATGCTGTTCCTGAACCGTTTGAGCCATCTGCCCCACGAGACTTCATTATTTCCTAAGAACAAAGACGCCCTCTCGATGTTGTCATGATATCGCTGTCAAAGTCAGGAAATTAAACATCCATGCGGCACTGCTCTCTAACGCACGGCCCACGTTCACATCTTGACGCTTGTCCCAGTAGCACCCATGATACCTTTCTTCCTCATCCAGAACCCACTGCAGGATCATGCGTGGCGTTCGGTTGCCACGTCTCTCGTCTTGTTAGCTAGAGTGATGCTCCGGCCTCGCCTTGTGGTCTTGGAAGAGCGTAGGCCCTTCGGAGTGTCTTGTTTCATGTTCCCTTGGTGAGATTTGGGCCGGCTGTTTTTGGTAGGAACAGCACTTAATTGATTTGCCTTCTCGGTTGATGTAGCAGCAGGAGGCCAGGGTGCTGGTTTGTCCTGAGGTCGATGAAGCCAGCTCTGATCCCTGCTTCAGGGGGTGTCTGCCAGTTCTTCCCCCCGAAAGTTACTCTTGTTTCTTTGGTGATTCAGAGGTGATTTGTAGAGAGGTACTTGGGTCTGTGTGTCGTTACATACATTTTTTTCTTTCCTCTCCATACGAATGGTAACGCTGTTCTGCTCACCTTTTAAATTTAACCATGTATTTCCCGATAGTGCTAGGGAGAGGCTGTGGCCCCTGTGCGGGGTCGACAGTGAGCCTGTCTGTCTGCGGCCGCCACGCCGGTTATTCGCTGCCCCTCCCGAGGGGCCCTTAGGTTTTCCTGACTTGCTCTCATTACAGACGTAAGAGCTGTTCTTCTGACAGAAGAAGAACACCTGTTCCTCACCCTGACCTGACATTCCTGGAGCATCCCTGGCCGTGGGGAGCTCGGGGAGGGAGAGCTTGGGGGCCTTGGTGCGTGGAAGCCTCATGCTCCGAGCCCGATGGAAGGGGACCGTGCGTGAGGAGAGGAGTGCTGTGCATGGGCAGCGAGGGCGGGGCTCCCGGGGCAGCTGCCTGTGTGGCTTCCTCTGCACGGGCCCTGGAGCGAGCCTCGTAGCCTCCAGGCCTCAGCCTGCACGGTCACCTGCAGGGACAGCGGTGGCAGCACAGGTGTCCCCCGCTTTACACCACCTCGCTTTCACGGAAGACCTCCTCAGTACCTGTTTTCCCTAACTGAAGGAAACCCGGAGAGGGCTTTTGCTTTCATGAAACAAAGTGAAAAGCAGAACTTGCGCCTTCACTTTACGCCGTTTCAGGTTGTGTAAGATTTCATGGAAACGCCCTACTTTCGGGTAGTGGGGGGAACCTGTACGGATTTTGCTGATAATATTGATACATATGAAGTTTTTGGGAGCGTGGCCAGCACTCAATAAACACTCAGGAAAAGTTAGTGCTCTTACTTCTTCTGATTATTTTCATTTGCACTGGCCTGTTTATTCTCTACTTGATTTTTATAACATTGACATATGTGGCCACTTTATAGATACTTTCTTGGTTACATTCAGCAGCTTCTAATGGTAGGTGGCAAGGAGACAGCTCGTGAAAACAAGATTGCCTGATGGGAACTGCAGTTCTGGGTCAGGTTCTGAGCCCCCAGTTAGAATCTTCTAGTGGACTTTGTCCTTGGAGTAACTTTTGAAAATAAAATCGCACTTAAAAGTAAAGCTTTCAAGGCTTGTGGGAGAGTGAGTGCGTGTGGATAGATTGAAAGGTTAGAAGAAAATCAGATTCTTTTGTTCGGTTGTGGGATTATGGTTTTTTTTTTCTTTCTTTAGAATTCTATGTGAGTATCAACTCTAACACCAAAAAGCGAAAACCAAAGCTTTCAAAGTGAATTACTGGATTTGTATTTAGTGGCAAGAGAAAACGCAGCCGGCAAATTGCCTGTTTTTATAAGGCAGTTAAGATAGCTTCGGAAGACAGCGGGATGTATTATCTTCACATTACGTAAAAGACGTAAGTGGCAAATATTTGCTAATGTTGGAGAAGAAAATCACTGACGTGAGCAGCGCCCGCCCGCAGAAGCAGTTCTACCTGCAGAATGTCGCTCCGCCCGTCAGGGCGCTGTTCTTCTTTGCTCAGCTTGTGCTCCCTTACAGGGGTGAGAGTAGCAAATAGAACTTAACAGCTCACTCTGCTCTTAGCATTGACTCAGTATTTGCTTGTGCAAAGGCTGCCTGCTTTGAAGCCCAAGAAAATGACACTTGGAGGCTTTCGTTGTGACCACGTGCGTCTGAACCGGCATGTGAGTTGGCCATCGGCTAAACATGTGCAGCCCAAGGCCTGCCGAGTGACCGCCTGGTGGCAGCCGGGCTCTGAGGTCGTCCGTGTGTGACACGCAGCCCTGGTGCCGGACATTCAGACACGAGCACAGAGGGAGTGAGGCCAGGTGCAAGGTCCCGGTCCAGTTACCCCGTGAGCACCCGGGCTGGGCTTTAAGACGGAGAGTGTGCCGGGAGACGGCTATGGGGAGGAGAGGGTTTTTTTCGGGGGCGGGGGAGGGTGATATGGAGTTGTTCACTCAGGAAGCAAGGGTTTGAGTTCGGTGCCCCTTCAGGGCCCGGGGCTGGAGGACAGCCCTGCCTGCAAGGGGCCCTGATGGCAGGAAGGGGAGGCAGTGCAGCCTGGGAGCCAGTGTGACAGGTGACTCAGCCTCCTGTCTCATCAGCCATCACGGGGGAGTTGGGACTCCCCTGCAGGGTCCTTGTGACGTCGGAGGTGGTGGACGTCAGGTGCCCACGTAGTTCTTCATTCGGCCAGTGTTCGTAGAGCACCTGCTGTTGCTGTAGGTGCTGGGGGTGTACCGGGAACAGACCCCAGGGCCCCTACGCTCAGGAGCTGACGTTGAGTGTCGGGGACAGACAGACAGACAGATGCACGCAGTCAGCACTCCAGGAACCGGCCGAAGGTAGTAGGCGCAGTGGAGAGAAAAACAGAGGTGTGGGGTAAAGGCTGGAGCTTCCCAGGGAGGGCAGGGGTGCAGAGGTCTTGCCCTGGGATGGGGCTTCGGGGATGGACAGGGCCTGGTAGGGGAGGGGAGGAGGGAGGCCGGCAGGGCAGCGAGGGGCAGGTCTGGAGGGCTGAGAAGGCCAGGAGGAGGCCCCCAGCTTTCTCTCTGTGCAAAGCCTCTGGCAGGGCTGGAACCAGGGGAGCGGAACAAGGCCACGCAGCAGTGGGGAGGTGCAGGGATGTGGGGACGGGGAGGAAATTAGGGGGGTCGACTGGGGGAGGGGAAGCTGGTGGCCCAGGGAGAAGGGGCCACCAGGACTGTGTCAGCTGGAGCCCAGGGGCTGCGGGCGTAGGGGGACAGCTGATGGACACAAAACCGGGGCACGCCCAAGAAGGGTGTTTTTTCACCAGGTGGCAGAATCAGGTACTGGTGAAACAGAGCCAGGGGAGGCAGTGTATCCAGATAACTGCACACTTGCTGCGTTTCGGGTCCTCACTCTGTGCGGGGCACTGTGCTGCCTATGTGTTGACATGCGTGTGCACCGCCCCCCAACCCAGGCACACCCGGAGCCTGCCCCCGGTAGCAGCCGGCTCCTGGTCGCAGCTGGGGAGGTTGAGCCCTGATGCAGGGGCGACCCTGCGGCCCCGCGGCGAGGGCAGGGCCGATGCCAGCTGGGTCCTCGTTCCTCTGCTGAGGGCCTTGCTGGAGGACCGGGAGTGGATGGCAGGCGGCGTGGCCTGGCTGTGCTGGCAGGGCTGCCGGCACCCCTGTTCCCGAAGGTCCGGGCGGTGGCCCGCCGGTGCCCAGCGTCAGCCGTAG